AGGCCAAGCAATGCAAGTGACAGCAGAGGACCCCCACAGTGCCTTCACTGTGCCTTCTACAGCGGTCCCTCTCTCCTGTGACGTTAGCAACCCACCCAGCACTGCACACGCTGCTGCACACGGTGTGGGAGCAGACATGCTCACCAAATGAAGTTATTTGCAAGCTTGTTTGCAAGTCCTTCCACCAGAAGGTGGAAATTCCAGGAAATTCCAGAAAATACTGCAGCAAGTACAAAGAGGAGAGAAAAGGACTAGACCGAGTGAAGTTAATCTGTCACTGACAGTAAAACGAACAAGGATTCCTTTCCCTTGCTCACTTGAAAATACAGTTCAGTCAAAACAAAGAGCAGTTAGAGAACACATATGGGGACAGTGTGTCACAGCACTGCATTTTAAGTTACTGGACAGCATACGGTTTACCTTGATGAGCTGATTGTTCTTCACATAGTGCAAAGTGTTTGACCTGTTGCCACCAGCAACAACAGGGGGGTACGCCAAGATGTCAGCACCACGAGCCCGGCACTCAAATTCAAACTGGAACACCAATTCAGAGAGGAAAAGACCATTAGGGCTGATTCAGATGATTAACTGCCCTACAACGGTTTTCTTGATTTGTACAACATGAAGTGAAACTGGAAACTGAGTTCACTAAATGAAAGCAGCCTTTAAGGTTTTCCAAGAACACTGGAAAAAAAAAAATACAGAGCTATCCACTTTTCAAGAGAATGTTTTAAGCCTGCCTCTGGCCTCATGGAAGCTTTTTCTGGTGCAAGCTGTTCAACACTGTATCAAACATTCAATTCGTTGTCACAAATCCAGGTGAGGATTTGTTCTTATATAAAGTAATGCTCTCAGTTGCCATACGACTTTGCAAATTTTCAAAGATCCTAAACGTCAGCATGACAACAGTCATGTTTTGTTGTCTTTTAAAATCACAAAGTACCAGCATATTTACAGCAGTATCTATTTCCATGACTCTGTTGAACTAAGAAGGTTTGAAAGCATGCACTACCTTGATGCCTGGTGAAAGAAAAAACAAAGCACTGTAAGCCTCAAGATCTTTAGTTTTCTTGAGTGATGAAGCTGATGAAAGCATGAAAATGAATGAATTTATATCTATAAAGACCCTCTATATCCTCAATACATTAATAACATGCCTTTGCTATAATTACCGAAACAACATGGGATACTCCAGGATGCCTACATGTAGTAAAGTAGGTTTTACAATACTGATCTGGAGTGAAAAACTGATCTGTAAAATACACTTCAACTAAAGCACTCCTGCTCAGTGCCCTGTCAGTACAGGCCCATCTATGTCATAACAGAGGGTCAAATCCTGCTGATGTTTCTCAAACGGGCATCTCACTGCAATTCCTTACAAGATTCCTTACCAAACACAGGCCAATTAGTCCTTATTTTGTAACCAAGAGGCATTCACACTGCTTCAAGTTAGCTGTGGTAATCTGGTGTAGTAAGAGGCCAGAGTCAAGAGAAGCGGGCTTTACAAAGAGCTGTTATAACTACTTAAATTCTGTACAATAGAACCGTATTATAGAATAAGATAATAACTGTATCTCTGATTGTTTAGCAGGTTTTGTGTTTAAATACAGTAGAAAAAGACATCAATAGCAGACAAACTTGGAAAACCAGGATGTTCCTTCAACAAGGGTATGGGAGTACAGCTGAAGAATTCCTCACGATGACTCTTCCACATGTGCTAAGAACCACAAGAGTCGGGTGAAGTAGAAATGTGCTACAGTTGGAGGCACATTATAGAGAGATCTGACATTTCTAGTTTCCTGGAAGGATAAACAACTTCCATTCCTTCTATCTCACCTCCAGCCACAAAGTACTCACCTTTGCATACAGAAAGGCTTCATCCACTGGGGATTTGCTGGCAAACATTGTCTCTGTGAAAGCCTACGAAAAAGAAGGGCTTTTCAGTTAGCAAAGGAGCCTGAACTTGAGAGAACTTCTCGTTTTTTACTTGCTGTCTTTTGAGGAAGGCCTAACATCAGCTGGCCCAGAACACAGGAACCAGAGGCAGCTGAAAATGTAGAGTGCTGTCAAGACGAGAACCCATTAAGCTCTGTTCCCTATGAAACTGTATTTAGGGGCTGGCTGACCCTAGTTTTTCAAAAAGGCTTAGATGATTGAAGCTGATCCCATGGGTTGGCATTTTATGAGTTGCCTCACCTATCGATTCCCTCATGTATACCAGGAGTGCCATATGCAGCTTTCCCTTCAGAGAAGGGCATGCTATGCCTCTCTTTTCTATTTGGCTATCTATTTTAATCATATTTACAAAAACTTAATAGCATTTCAGGTATCTGCCAGATGAGTTTAAAACTGGCCAATGAGTTCAAAAGGTATTTGAGAGAGAAGCGGGAACACGGAGACATACACAGGCAATGTGTTCACAAAAATCCCATTTCCTCAAAATCAACAGGATAAATGGGCATGAAACTGGTGTGGGGATGGAGAGGGGAAGGTGAGAAGAGAGTGAAGAGGCTAGACCTGTTCCTGAACAAATACTGCTTTTAAACAAAGTCTAACAGCTGCTGGCTTGTCTTCACTGGGGTTACACTAACTGAGAGAAGCTGCTTGTCCAAGCAGTCTTCCTGTTTCTCCTGTCTTGTGCAGGGAGCTGAGCCCAGCCAATGGTTGAGACACAGCAGCTCAGTAACAGGTTAGACCAAAGCTCTCCTTCCAACCCATGTCACCCCATCAATAGCCCTCTCCCCTTTCTTCTTTAAAGGAATGCACTGGTTCATTTGGAGAGCACACCACCCCATACCTCTGCTGTCACCCGTCCAGCTATCTTCATCCTTTCAATCTCTGCAGGAGATTTGATCAGCCGAAGGTTTTGCACTAGATGTCGGATGCCCTGGATGTGGTTTTTGTTCTGAGCTTTTATTTCAGCCAGGGGCTGCATGTAGTCAGAGTGCAGCTCCGTATGCACTGGTTTTCTCAAGTCGTACCAAACAATGTTTGACTCACCTGGAATACAAAACAAAAGCTGACACAGATGAAAATAAATGTAGAAATGTCCTCCCCAAACTGTACAAACTCACCCCTCCTAAACTAGGCCTGTTTCTGTATTTGAGACATTAATTTCCTCTGAATCTGCAATCACAGACCATATAGAGACTTTCACAGGATACTAGCAATCTCAAAATCTGGAAGATTACCAATTCATTGCATGTAGATTTGACAAGTCCCCACTTCCACGCAAATATTGGGTTTTATGACCATCACTGAATATATGTATCTTGCACAGTTCCATTCAGAGTTCGCACATTTTAAGTTGCACTTGTGTAAGCTAAGTGGCCATTGCACTGCAGTGGTGCATGTTCTGAATCTTTCCCTCATTTAGCCTGTCCCCCCTGATGCTGTAAGGCAATTTACCTTTCGCCCATCGCATGGAATGAGGGTCATTATCAACTACGCTTCAGAGTCTCTTTGGGGAACAACTGCTTATTTCAGTCACTCAGAGAAGACGAACTTACCAAGGACAAACATATTTACCTAGGTGGAAATTTATTTAGAACATCAGGGTTGGCACCAACATTCTCCCCACAGGAACATTTTAAATGGCAATGAGTAGAAAAGCCATGCTGAGTCACAGCTAATGTCCACCTAGGCCCACCCTCCTTCTTTGGTGACAGTAGCCAGTAGCAGGTGCTTATAAGAAGTCTCTAAGAAACTGGGCATTTATGAAAGAGGATTTCCCTTAGCACATCCTCACCACTTCTGGTTTCTTCATTTCAAGGCTGCATCTTCATAGCAGTGACTTAACTGCTTTTCATGGACCTCTCCCTCCCTCGTGGAACTAAAAACCTTTGCCTCTATTTATACTTTTGCAATTCCAAACCTTCCCTGAATGATCTACAACTTAAAACTTAAAAGGTGTCAAAACCTGCTGTGTGATCGCACAATATTTGTAAATTATGAAAACCAGCAACTAATCATTCCTACTCATCCTCTCTGTGCTTTCCATATCCGTGCACATCTCTCACATCTTACCTTCTGTTTCTCTTTTTCGAACTGAGCAGGTTTGTCCAGCATGTATCTCACACACACTCCATATTTTTTGGATCATCCCTGTTGCCGTTTCTGTGACTTTTCTATTTTCAATATATGCTTTTTTGAAACAAAATAACTAGAACCCGAGATGGTATTTAAGACTCCAGAATTCACTCTATTTATTTGTGTAATCCCCTAAGCACTTGCCCTTTTCATACTGTCATAAGCCTTCAGCTTTGTTTTATAATGCATTTAAGTTCACCCTGGATTATAAGTATCGAGGCTATACAGTGATGTCAGATGCAGAAGAACAGGCCTAAAGGACAGCAACGCTTGCATTTCAAGAGTAAGTCAACAGCTAGCTAAAAAAAGGAGAGTGGACTAACAAGCCCCCCTGTGTGGATCATTTTCCAAGTCTATTATGAATAAAATACCTTCAAGTTTCCCACACTTCATCTGGTTCTGGCTCTGTCAGCAAAAAGATACGACTAGAATAGCAACACGGCTTGTGATGCTCTCTTGCTTATCCTGTTCCTCACGTTTCACAGATGTGCACACTGGCATTCACACGGGTATACAAGAAATTCAGAGGGAGGAAAACCTGTTATTTTCAAAATTACATTTCCATTGGTGATGTTCAAGAAGCTAACAAGAACTTCCAACTGTCTTTGTCATACTGTCACACCCCGTGCACCTCCCCAAGTTCATGACAGTCCTGAATTGGTGTCGCAGACCACCTTCAAACCCATACCATTCAGACCCTGCAAACCACATAACATTTTTGGTTACCTTTCAGCTTGGCCGCCAAGTGCCTGAACTCCTCGATGGTGTAAGCTTCATCTACTCCTGTAAGAGCAATTGCTCCATCTGTGCCTGATCTGGGCCCATCCCACAGCTCTCGGCTTGGATCTCTCCGGGGCACAAAAAGTATTGATTTGTGGGAGGGCAGTGCTTTGCCAGGAATGCTCTGCAGCACCAGGATGCTGTCAGGCTCCTGGAACCCACAGAGGTACAGGAAGTTAGTGTCCTGGTGGAAAACGTAGGGGATGTCATTGCTCATGTAGTACGTGGGGTTGGATAGCAGAATCACTGTGTGGTCCATTCCATCCCAGCCATGGGCTTCCTTCTGGATCGATGCCATCAGTTTGTGTCGGCGAAGAGCATATTCCACCTGTGACAACCCTGGGGTTACCTCCCCTACGAACACAAAACAAACCAGATTGAGAAATTCAAGGCACTCGTAACATTTTACCAGTAGCATGCCTGATTCCTGCCTGCTCCCTGGTGCCGTTCATACCCGTGGCTTCGCTGTGTCCCCCATTAGCCTCTCCATGGTGCTCTCATGCATCTCCAGCTTCCACCCCACCAGCACATCCTCACTCAATCTGCTCCTTCATCATGCAACGACAGAAATTTATTTTAACAAATCAGATTTTCTGTTACATATTTCTGTGCGAAAACAGAAATCACAAAACCTGCTAGATTTAGACGAACATCCAAAACAGATGGACGTGAAAAAAAGGGGAAGGGACAAGGCAAACTGGACTTTGACTGCTGAAAACCGATGGGTTTTACAGCATCTGGACGTTGAACAGAAGATTACCTCCTGAGGCTGAGCATTAATTTCCTCAGATAAAGCTAGGATGTCTATTCAAACACACACTAAGTCAACTCATAAAGTAACTAGTCCTAAACCATAAGGGGTGGATTGAGTGTTACAGATACTGGGAGATCAGGCAGAAACACAGAGGTTGCAGAGCCTAACCAGTCACAAGACTCCAGGCAGAAACAAACCACAAACTGCAGGCTGGCATCTGACTCCGATTAAGAGCAGGAATCGTCTCCAGGGCAGACGTAGCTTTTCTCACTAATTAACAATTCGGATTTTTCCAAAGTTAAACGCTACATTCCTAATGCCTCTAACTAAACAAATGATCTCTTAGATGAAAGTATGTTTTAAGCTGCTCCAGTCACAAAGGATACGAAGGAGAGCAATCAAGATAATCACCAAAACCAGATGGAAGTTGAAAGAACAACCGACAGCAGCTGAAGTATGTATTTTTAAAAATGTGAGACTCCTTAACCATGATTTAGATTAATACATAAGCCTTAATCAGTACTTTGGCTAACACCCTATTTTAACATAGATTCCACCTTCATACTGTTAACTTTCTACTTTCATAATCTTTTCTTCCTCTTTAATGTATTACACAGTGACAATTCTAGAATAAAAATTGAAATTTGACTCGTACTGTAAGTGGATTCCTGCCTGGGTGGGATGGGGAAGTTCTATCCAGAATGCTTTTTCTTGCCAAAAGACAGTTTAAGAAAATCACATATATTGTATTGGCATTAAACTTCACACCTTTTCAACACCATACATCCCCAACACTTGTTTGGTGTAAAAGTCTTTCTTTGTTTTAAGAAAAAACCCAAAACCACCAAATTTGTTTCACTCTGTAGATTCTAGAAATGACAGAGAACACAGAAACTGTTTTAATGCAATCTGACCCCACATTTCTGCAATGCTCTACTGCAAATATCCTATGCTCCGCTGCATTCCAGTCAACTTTCTAACTACCACAAACAGTTCAGTGGAGTTTAGAAGCTGAAGTAGGGTGTAACATGGGAAACCCATTTGTCTTCTAACTTCAAGGCCTGGAAATTCTCTTTGCCTTAAAGGCGCTTGCTTTTTAAAACAATAATTGCAACAAACCAAAGTTGTGTTAGTTTAAGGAAAACACCACTCCTTCATTAAATGGAAGATGACTATGGGCAGCCGGAAGTAACCACCAGTGTTTCAGCTGTGAGCACTTTTAAAGCGTCAGCCTCCTTTACTGTGAGCTGTTAACCAGTGCCCTGAGCAACCTGATCCACCAGTGAAGTTAGCTCAGCTGTCAGTAGAGGGTGGACCTAGTAACTTCCTGAGGTCACTTCTGACCTGAGTTATTCTACAGTTAAATATGTAAGTGCATGGCTATATATTCACCTGTTCTCTCTGCATACCTGCCTATGGAAAAAGAACACAGAACTAGAATGTTTTCCTGGACATATTCTTGAATATATTTTTACTTCAAACTTTTTTTTTAGATTTATTCATGGTCATCTCATACCCGCATGCTCATTTTCATTAATCTCATAAAACTGCACAACCTCAGCTTCTCTTTTATCGCTACCTTCTAACTTCGTAGCCACAAGTCTCTTTTCCTCACAGCTCGAACACTCTTCTGAATGAGGCATGTTCTTTAGACAAGTGGTGTCCAACTCTCAGTAAGTCTCTCCCTGATCTCCTTTTCTAAATGACGCCTTTATTTTGTGACCCACAAGACACTGGATAAGAAACATTCTAGCTGTTCAGCTGGCACAAAGGCCTCCACCTTAATATAAATTGTATCGTATTTGCAGGACAACGAGCTCCCAACATTCCGCTGTCACGAACGGTCTGCAGTACTGAAGTCAGTGACACCGTGAACTCCATAAGAAGGTAAAAAGCCAACATGTGAAGCTTATTTTTGGAATCAGTATCATCTCAGACAAGGAAATTAACTACTAAATATAATCACTGCCTAATGAATTTAATCATAAACATGGACACCTGTACGATGCAGCTAATCAATACTCTGTCCCAGACATCTCAGAAAAACAGAGGCAAGAAAGAATACCAATGCTCGGCTCATAGAGGGCCTGAACCTAACCTGGTTTGAGAAGGTGTGGGTGTGTGAAGGGGCTGGGCTGGCCCAAATACCGGTTTGGAATCTTCTTCTGCTGGGCAGGCTGGATGGAAAATCTTCGGAGAGCACTTAACTTGCAAACTAGAGAAAAAGAAATGCACTATGTTAAGGTAAAAGGCTTTTCCAGTTAGCAAACTGCGGAGTTATATTCCAGTCATCTGACTTTTAGTAGCATTCATTCACCTTACACGACATGAATATCCCTCCTTGACTTCTCAGTTTGTTGTGCACCATAATAGTTTACGAAACAAGGCGCACACAACTCAACTAATGATCACATGTTCATAAAACAGATTGGAAGAAATTAACATATGCTAAACCTGACAACCCAGCAAGAAAACCCAGAAAATTATGAAATTAGGTCTGCTTGCACATGCCCGATTTCTACATATGGTGCTCTCCCTCCCTTGCTTCCCTCAAGCACCACAGGGCTTGAAGCACAGCACCTCTACGTCATCTTGACTATGTCTTCAAAAATACCACTCATATAGAACAATTACAGAGTTTTCAAGGCCTTTCCAGTTCTTTTTTTTTTTACTAATAATGCCACAAAGAAGCCATCAAATACCACGGGTTTATACATCAATGTGATTTTTTTTTTCTGTATGAAAGATACGCAGGAGTCCCTGTTTATCTACTTAACGTGCTTGACAGTAGCATTAGCCAAATCGAAAACAGAAGCATACAGTTATGTATCCCTCTTCAAATCCACACACAGCCAAAGCAGACAAGTGTGTGCTTGGGAGCCGGGGGTGTGCACGGTAAGACAAAAGCTAAAATTAAATATCATCACAAACTGTACCAATTTTGGAATTCTCAGTCGCAGCGTTTTGCAGCTGAAGAGTTGCTCGTGCCTAGGTACAAATCACCAGACCCACGGCAGGAGATGGAAATCACTTTCCTAACTTCTGCAGGCTGAGGTTTGCGAAACTGGCTGCCTTTTATGTCACTTACCATTGTGCCTGCTACAAAATTAATTCATGGCACCAGCTGCTTAGAACAAACGATAATCAACTCTCTGCCAGCATAAGCAAGTACAACACAAGCAGAACAGCTGCCTGCCTTTCAGGGGGCTGAGGCTCAGAGAGCAGAACACACAGGCCGTCGATTTCCTGCGACAGCCAGTGTGATTAGCCATTAATTGAAGATTACTTATGGCATGAAAACTGATAGTCACAACAGAAAGCATTCACTGTGTGATGATTGACTGGAGTAAGAGTCTGGAGGCCCAGGCGGTGACACGCAATTACAGCTTTTTGCACAGCTTAAAAAGAGTGTTTTCACTGTTTCTCTCCACCAACGCAGAAGACAAGACAGCTTGCAGCGAGACAGGCGAACACGATAGGCATCAAATAAAGCAATGTTTTGAAGACCACAAGGAGCTTTCCACAGCGTTGCTTTATTTTTTTTTTTCAAATAATAAGCCGTTCTTTCCCTGGATTCAACCGTCACTGGGGCTACGACTTCGCTGCCCGAAGGAGCCGCCTTCCCGCGCCCCTCGCACCCACAGCGAAAGGGACGCGCGGGCGGCCTCACAGTGAGCTCGCTCGGCCCTGAGCGCTGCCGGAGGGAGAAAAAAGGGCTCTAACCGGCCCCCCGCTCAGCGTGCCCGGGGCAGTCAGTTCCCAGAGCCCCGTGGACGG